AGTTGCGCGTCATTTTGGATATATTTGAAGCCTTTTTAAGGACGGATAACCTCCAGGTGTTCGCCAACGCAGCCATAGACTGTGCGTTGTGTCTGATTAGACTCATTAAGACACAGCAATCGATGCCAATTGACGCACATTTAGGTAATTATTTGTCATTCACTCGCACCGGTATTTAATGGGACAGACACTTCATACTTGCGTATGTTTCAGATGAGTCTAATGGCAAGGAATCGGCGCCCGATTTGTGTCTAATTTCGTTGAAATATTTGCATCAGTTCTCATCGATGTTGCGGTCGATGTACCGAATGCCTGCCTGTCCTCTGTTCTCGGCGCACAAGTTAAGGCACACGACCAGGGTTATAGATACTAGCCATTTAATAGATACCGGCGCTGTTGGTGATAGAGAGCTGCCAATTGTGATCACTTTAGAGCAAATGGACAGACCTAACAAAATACTTCATATTTGGTTCCTATTAATCGATGAGTTTTTACAAAGTGTCCAAAAGTGTGACCAAAAGCACTGCACGACTGCTATTGAAATGGTGTTTCAATGGCTCAATGATCTCATTGAAATACCTGGTATATTTTTATCCCGGTACAAATTTATTAAATAATTTTATATTTCCGCTCATTTTAGGACCAAATTTTGCCATTTATTGTACAAATCATATACTTCTGCCTTCACTACAACTAATGACAAGACAATCATTAGAATATCTGGAAGCGGCTGATACGTGTCCACCACCACGACCCGGCTCACTCTCCACTCTTAGGCATCTATATGGACTCACAGCTGATCTTATAGTGAATAATATCCGGCAATTGAATAACGAGTCAAATGGTTGTGATTTATCCGATAATCCAATCGTTGGCATCGATTTAATGCTCAGACAATCGCTGTTAGTATACATCGAGACATTAAACGGCGAGTACCCTGAGCCTATTGCCAAACTTAGCTGTGCCTGCATTCGGTCTGTTATTATCATCACATTTATGNGTTTTTCTGATTTTCTGTTTATTTTCTATTTTAAGACATATATTGTTATCAGTTGTCAATCAATTCAATGATAACTTATGGCAAATAACTATCGATTGTCTGGCGATTGGCCACAGAATGACATTACACTCGTTGCAGACATTAGTGAATGTGTTTCAGAAGACAGGCAATCACTTTTTGGACGATTTGGATCAGATTCAAGTGATTTGCAAACGCAATGTCAACCGTAACCACGAGGACAGCAATCACTTGTGCCGATTAGCGCATCAAATATTCTTATTGGAAGCCCAGAGGGGCACCGGTAGTGTCAGTGGTGGTGGTGTCGACACTTGGAAGGGTGTGTTCGATGGCGCCAACAATTCTGTAGTTGGAGAGAACCGTTCGTTCATTTTTGTCATCAATTCCGGTGATAATCCGCAGACGTAATGATCTTCACATTCATTGTCTTCAGTATTTCATTTCAAATTGATTTGTGGTTATAGTGTGTCGTTCCGAGTACTGGTCGTCCAACTGACTGCCCATTGGCTGCTATTGCAGACACTGT